CCACTGCTCTTGGATTTAGTAGAAGCCACCCTTCTTCCACAGAAGCAGGAAAGGACACAATAAAGGGTGCTGCAAATATTTAATGAGTCTGAAGAAGGAAATAAAATCACTCCCAGAGTAGACACTGAGTGTGGGGAGCAGCAGGAACAGACAAAAATCATTCCTACAGCAATGTTGCCACGGACCCTCATTTCAGGGAGCCAAGAACTGTATGGAAGGCGAGCAGGTCACTTGAGGCTGGTTTTGAAGGGCACTAATAGAGATCTCTGAGGGGAAAAGACAACTATAATATTTTCTGAGGAAATCCAATCGAATGCAAAACATTCCTGATACAGACAGCACATTTATTTCCTGTGCTGTTCAGTTTCATTTCCAGCTTTATGCCACGTTCAGTCCTTGCTGAAGCCAACCTACAAATGATTGATAGAGAGACTCAAGCGTTTACAGGCCATACACCTCTGCTCTTGTGCTGGAAGAGTACAACAAAGGCAAATGGCATCATGCAGAATCACTCCTTAAGTGGCTCCTTGGGGCCCTTCTGGCAAGAAGTGGCCCAGCTCTTGGATATGATCTTAGCCCACCTCACACTGCTCTCAAGAAAATTCGGCTGGCCTCTCTTGCCCCAGGGATGAGAACATGGGAGCAGAAGATGTTCTGGATCCTTTCCAGGTCCCCAAAGAAAGGCAGAACAACAAAGTGTGAAATTAAGTGTTGGATTTATTAAGATACAATGGGAAGAGGTCTAGTGTCAGAAAATACATCACAGCTTCATTCTGGTGCTGGGAACCCCATCTTTGTTCTGCATCAGACACAACCAGTAGATTTACCCAAGTCACACTGTGCAGAACATTTCCATAGAGAGCTCCATCTTCTCCATCTATGATGGAACTCTGTTTCTGACATTTACCCTCTGGCACACAGAGCACAGCTGGGCATGGTGCACTCAGGCTGATTCCATTACTGCAGTTCCTCAGGGATAAGGGAAGAGCTTCTCCTTTGCTAAATGCAATGCCCAACAGAGACTTGTCAAGCCATGGATTCAGGGAGCAACACATCAGTTGTATTCCATTCACAGCAATCACAGCCATCTTCAGAAGGCAGAAGAAAGAGGATCCAGGGAACAACTGCCAACCTTTGCTCCTTCCTACAGTGTTTCAGAGGAAATATCTCGATATTAGTATGTCAAACATACTAAGGACAAGACAGTGATTAGCAGCAGCCAGCCTGGTTACACACAGAGCAAAGCATGCCTGAGCAACCTCAATGCATCCTGTACAAGACTGAAAAATGCAGGGCAGTGAATGTTATGTGCTTAGATTTTGGTGAGAGAATTTTGATTGCCTTTTTTATAGTCCCCTCACAACCAAAAGGGTGAGTTATGGCAAGGGTAAGTGTACAATAATGCGGGTGGAAAACTAGATGATCTGCTGGGCTCAGGCTGTGCTAACTGTTATTCATAGTAGAGCTGGGGACAGGAATCTATAAAGGGGTCCCTCGGGAATCAGTGCTGCACCAGCAGTGTTTAACTTCCCATGAATGCTCTCCATGACTAAACAAAGTGCGCTATAAGCATGTGTGGGGGGGACCCATGAATGGGAAGAGCTGTCAGGACCTCATGAAACAGGCTGAGAGAAAAAGGGAGCCAATCAGGAATCCTACAGAAACAGACACCAAAGGAGTACATGGCAATGATGGGAAGAAATAAATGTCACCATTCACACTAGCTGATGAGGAGTCAAGAAAACACCACTTGCATGAAGGCAAACCTGGACTTGGAAAGTGATGCAGTTGTGAATCAGGATACGGACAGGGGTTGGTGTGAGACAGACCTATACTATCTCATATTGGGATATGTGTGAACATAGGAGGAGTGACAGAGTGGAGTGCAGCGGGCCCTTCATATCTGCTTGAGCAATGTGATCAATCCCCACAGAGATTCTTGTACTCTTATGAATCTTTTCTTAATTCTGCACCAGCTCACTCTGTCCTGTGTACACTGGATGGACAAATATCCAGTTACTGGAGAGTGGCATGAGTAGATTTAATGCCAGCTGCTGGAATCTGACTGAAGATGTCCTTGGCATGTGCTGTATGCTGCTACAAGAAGAGAGGTCCATGATCGTCTAACAGAAAAGGGGTGGTTCTTGAGCCACAACCAAATGCCGCAGGGGCAGGTTTTATCCCCATAACCACCCAGCTGTACTGCCGAGAGAGAGAGATGTGGCATTCAGCACAAGCAGGTGGAGTCAATTCACTGCTCACACGCTGTGTGTGGGCTGATGGGGGTAGGGATGGACTGACTAAACAACCAAAAACGAGATTTTACGGTGTGAATGTCCCTGAGATCCGGGCTCAGCTTTGGATCCGGCTGAACACTGGTCAGGGACTCTGTGCCTCCAGCCTCCCTCTTGGCTTCTCCCACACATTCGAAGCCCGATGCTGCACATTCCCAGCGGCCCGCTCGGCGCCGCTGCCGGCCTTTCTCGGGCTCCTCGAGCGGCGACAGCAGCACCACGGGCAGCAGCAGCTGCGGGACCCGGGGCTCGGGGAGCCGCGTTCCCGGGCAGCAGCACACGACCCGTTCCCGCTGCCGGGCTTTGGATCTGCGGCATCGCCGTGCACAGCGGTGGAGTAGGATTCGGCCGCGTTGCGCTCCCGGACCATTCCACTCCCGTCTGTGTTACCGCCTGACACAGGCGAGCAGCTGCTTTCTTCTATACTGCAGGGGCTTTTGCAGCTGTTCCTCAGCTCTCCGCCTACACCGCAGAGCCCTGACTGCGCTGCAGGACACGCAGAACCCAAACCCCGTTACCCGCGCAAAGGCGCCCAGCATTGGCAGCCCGCAGCAAGCCCGAGTGACGCTGAAGCTGGACTTTGCCCTGGGGCGGAGCTGGCGGCGGCGGCGGGGAGGAGGCGGCGCGGGCGGAACAGAGCCGGGGCTGGCGGGGGCAGCGCGGCGCGGGCGGCGAAGCGGCGGGATGCGGCAGTGCCGGGCCGCGGGGCTGGCCGCGGTGCTCCTGGGTGCGCGGGGCTGCCGCAGGCGGGGCCGGACTGCGGGGGTCCGGGGCTGCACTCGCTTCTGTCTGTCCGGCTTCTTTCCGACCAGCGAGGGCACCTCTCTATCCTCTGGCATGAAATTCCTGAAATTCGCCTGCCTCTGGTTGTCCGTTTCGTTTCTGACCTCGTGCTCTTCTCTCCTCTGCATTCAGCCTGACTTTCTCCACAGAGCTCAGCCCGCTGTTCTCTCCCGTCTGCCCTTTCCCCCTGCTCTCCTGCCTATAGATAGCCCTTCCCGCACTGGTGCTTACTTCACGACCTTTTCCCCTCAGTGGCTTTTCCTGCTGGCTTGGATCCCGTGTTATATTTTCTGTAGCAGCAAAGGAATTTTCTGAGTTTACTTCTTCTTATCTTCTCATCAGTGGCTGTGAGCAGAGCCCAGGTGCAGCAGGAGCCGTCGGTAGAGACCAGCGAGGGCATCGGCATCAACATCACCTGCTCACACCCCAACACACAGTTCAACGAAGTCATTCAGTGGTACCGTCAGCTCCCGGGCCGAGGCCCCTCATTCCTCGTCAGCGCCGTTAAAGGCTCCAAGGAGGTGCCGGACCCGGAGGGGCAGCTGTGGGTGTCGGCAGACCGCCGCTCCAGCGTTCTGCGTCTCGCCCGGCCCCGGCTCGGGGACGCGGCGCTGTATTACTGCGCCGTGGGCGCACGGGAAGCGAAGCCGGGGCTGCGGCCGGGCACGAACCGCTTGGGGCGGGGCGGGGGCACAGTGCCGTCCGGGCCCGCAGGGGGCGCTGCCGCTCCTCCCTCCCGGCGCCGCCGAGCTGGCAGTGCTGACATGGAACGCGTCCCTCGCACCGCTCGGCATCCTCCGGAGAAAGGCGTTCCAGCTGCACACTTTCATGAGTGCTGGTGTCACAGTCATCTGCATGTGATCTCCTCAGTGGTTCTGTTTTGAGAGTATGAGACTGTGTGACAAAATTCAGGGCCTCTGGCAGTGAGGTGGATTCAGCTGAGGCCACTGTAAGATGTGTTCACAGTGAGGACTACAGGCTCGTGAAGGCTGTGGATCAAGTCCCTTATCAGCTTAAAGGGAATTACAAGTAAAATGAAACTGATAAACAAAGCACAGGATGACCCCAATCTCTAACCAAATAGGATGACAATTGGTGAAACTATACCTCTTCAGCCCCTCATGATGTGCCATTGGGGAATTCCATGTGTTAGATTTGAATTAGATGAGGTTGAGCTTTGTGAGTGACAAGAGACAAGATGAAAATGAAAATTAGGAGTGCTCTAGAGGGACTTGTGGGGCTATGCAAACATTTTAAAGAATGTTTAGGGAATGGTGAGAGAGGAGGGCGGAGGAATAAGGGGATGCACTGTAGGGAAAAAGGACAAAAGTTCCAGTCAGTACATCTGCATATATGGATGAGCCCTGTGCCTGATCAATGCAGTCCATCCTGTGTCCTTATTAAATCCTGACTTGTCTGTGCAGCGCTGAAATAAACTGGGCTCTCTTCCTCATGTGGGAGCACCTCAAGGTCGAGGCCAGTAGATGCTGAGACTGCTGTGCAGGAGAGATCTGGGTGCCAGCAACCAAAACAACATCCACAGCACATCAGGATTAAACCAGTGACCAGGAGGAGATTATTCAATTCTGGGAGAGAGCTGGGTAAGGAAACACAAAGCCTGGGAGAACAGGTTCGGCAGGCTGAGATCCCATGGCAATGTCTGAGGGATCAGCACGAGTGTGGGGATGTGTGTGAGAGGAGTGGGTGACTGCACGCATCTGTTGGCCAGCAAACAGCAGGCTGGCCAATCCTGAGCAAAGGAGGAGACCACATGTAGGGTAAGGGATGCCAGGCTCCAGGCAGGGGTATTGGATGAGCTGAGGGCCCGTGCTCACACTGATGGGCTGTGATTGTGGGAGTGCTTGTGAGCCAGTGGGTGAAGGTGTGTGCTTGCACTGGGGAACTGCAGTCCTGATTAGCCTGAGAGGAGGAACAGGGCTTGGCTCTGAGCTTCGGGCTTATAAGAGAACTGGTGTTGTTACCTGTGGGTGTTGCTATGGCAGTGAGTGCCCTGCCTGTGCAGCCAGCAGAGTCATTTCCGGCAGCTCTGTCGTCTTGGGGCTGGGAGGTGGTTTTCTGCCTCTTGCTCACTCACAAACAGGAGGCTCGGTCTCAGCATGCACCGCAGCTCTCTCGTCCTCACTGCCTTCCTGGGACAACTGCTGGGTAAGTGCTGGCTTTTAGTCAAGGCACCCATCTTCTCCCCACAAAGCGCTCACCAGCCTCACTGGGCTTTGTGGCAAACAGCTCCTGGGTAACAATAAACCTTGGGCAAATGCTGACTGACTGTTGTTCCCCTGGTTGTCAGCACAGCCAGAGATCACACTTGTCACCATTCAACTCAGCTTTGTTTATACTGAGAGACTTAGGAGCCCTTTATGTTGACAGGACTGAAGAAACACAATGCATCTTTTCCCAGAAGCTCCATGGGTCGCTCACCCTCCACAGTCACAACAGAATGCCCCCTGTTCGTCTCAGCAGGGGCACAGCACAGGATCTGCTTGGGACCAGAAGCTGAGAGCTCTTCCAAAACCACCTTCATATGCCCAGACCTCAACAGCTTTCTGCTGGACAAAGGACAGGGAGCCTTCTCTCCTGCTGTTTTGTATCCATTTCATGTCAGCAGCCTGGAACCTTCCCTGCAGAGCTGCTCACCTTTGCTTTCTTCTTCCAGGTGCCATGGGGCAGACCATTGTCAGCCAGCAAGAAGGACAAGTCACAGTGCAGGAGAGAAACACCTTCCAGACCACCTGCACATACCAGGCAACTAACTTTAATGGTTTGTTTTGGTACCAGCAGAAGAAAGGCCAAGCTCCCCAGCTGGTCACATATCAGGCAGCAGCAGGCTCCAAGCAGAACGGCCGTTTCACCACGTGGCTGAACACCACCGGGAAATACAGCCTGCTGCGGCTGGCAGAAGTCGAGCTGTCTGACAGCGCCCTGTACCTCTGTGCTGTGCAGGACACCCTGGTGCAGGGAGCTTCCTTGGCCGTGCAACAACCCCAGGGAGGGAGGAGGTGTGTGTGCTGGAGGCGGAGCTCTGGGGAAGGGGCCCTCAGCTCTCCTGGCAGCGCTGCTTCCCTGAGCACACAGAGATCTGCAGCCCAGCGTCCTCTTCCGGCAGGGACCGATGGCTGTGGCTTGAGAGGAATGAAAAGTGATGTTAGAGACCCTCATCTGGGACTCCTCTCCATCAATTTTTGCATGGGCTGTGCAGAGACCAGATGCTGCATTGTGATTTGTGTGCTCTGCTGTGCACTGAGGGCTTTAAGCAGGTGGTCTGAAACTCATCTGAGCTTTGCAGTCCCAAGCAGATTGCTTCTTTGTTCTTGACACTTGCCCAAATTCCCTGCAGGCCTTCCCAGAGTGGCCTCCTTTCTGGAGAGCTGAATGGTGCTATTGCTCTTCTTTAAGAATTTCCTTCCCTGTAGAAATCTCAGGGTTGGGAGGAGCAGAGAAGATGATGCATGCTTTTCTAGTAGTAATTCTTCCATACGAATGCTTTCCATGTCATGAAATCCTCACATTATCATGTGCAGTCCAGGGCTGCCCTTCAATCCTAGCAACTTGAGATCACTATTAAAAAGATCGCATGGAGGCTGGGACTGGGATGCAGGTAACATCAGTGACACTGAAGAGGGAAATGAGTTTTCTTCCACAGGGCCGTGTTGTGTGGGCAGCACCAGAGCTGCCAAAAATCTGTGCACATCCCCCCCGGTCAAGATTTAAAAATGCAATCCTTGTGTTGGTCCCATAGAACTCAGGTTGGCTATGGGGAAATTATACAGCCAAAAGAAGGGAATACAAGGAAAAGAGAGAAAAGGGTAGAAAATGGGGAATTGAGCATGGTGGGCACCTTCTGCCATCGTAGTGTCTGGAAATTCGGAAGAGATCAAAGCACCCAGAAGTGATGGAGACTCTACCACAGCTGAGGATGCTGTCAATTGCTGCAGAGGTGGAGGTTCCCACAGAGGTGTTCTGTAGGTATGCACTGATGTTGAGGCCAAGCAGGGCTGCAATCATGGGGAGGGATTAATGATGACAGTATGGTTTTTACTGTGCCTGACACAGGGCTGCTTTCAGGTGATGGCTGGTGAGGTCGAACCATCGGATGGGCATGGCACCCACTGTTCGTAGCAGGGCATGTCTCAGAGAGCTAAGAGGATTTCTTGACTTGATCCAGAGAGGAGAGGACACTTTTGTTGTTGGTATGATGGCCCTGCACTGCTCTAGACATGGGAGTGCTATAGACAAAAGAGACCATGCTCTGTAGCCCATGTAATGAATGGAAAACATCCCAGCTAATGATACGGGCTGTGTGGCTGTTTCCACTTACGCTGCCTTTTCATTTTCTGGACTCTGTTACACCCATTCCCTCACAGAAGCTTCTTCGGAGTATTAGCATTGAGAGGACCAAGGATTTCTGAGCCAAGTATGAGTCAGAAGAGAAAAAGTCAGGAACAAGAAAAATTCTATACTTGAGACTATAATTTGTATTTTTCTTCCAGGATCGCTCTTGAGGTAAAGAATGGGTGAATGGATGCCTGAGAAGGATGAACAAATCTTTGTACACCTGTGTCTGTGGAAGAAGTGAGAGAGAGAGGAGATGGAGAGAGATTGATTCCAGCAGTGATCAGCAGAGGCCATGAGAGCACCACGTAAGCCAGGAAATGGCATCCTGTGTGAAGTCTGCTGCTGCTCTTATTGAGCTGGAAAACCTCCCTCTGACATCACTCCTTCTGAAAGCACAGGGCCATGGCAAAGGAGAACAGGACTTTTCTGATTCAATGCATTCTCCTGGGCTCAACAGAACATCCCAGCTGTCACTTGCTCCTGTTTGTCATTATCTGCTCCATGTCTCTCCTGACCCTGGCCTCACCTTTGTCACAGCAGGGAGCGATCAGTACCTGTGGGTCTCAAGATGGTCCTTGTTGCCTGGTTACAGGCTGGGTACCAGGAATATCACTGTCAGTTTCTACTGGGATGAGGGGCCTCTTCTGGGGCTGGCCTGCGGGGATCCCGTCAGGCTTTATTCTGGGCTTTATGGTTCCTGTTGTCATCATCGTCCTTACACTGTGCTTTTCATGATAGTTTCCTACATCTGCATCACCTCCAGAGTTCTCTCTATTCCCTCTGCTTTCACTCACCAGAAGGCATTCTTCACCTGTCCCTGCCATCTCAGCATGGATCCCTTTCTATCAGAGGCCAAGGCCAGATCCAAACATAGCTTACCATGAAGGCTCCATCCTTTGAATGCACTGGACCTTCAAGGAGCCTGACAAGGCAGGAGGAGAGCAGTAGGTTGGGCTGTAGAGATGTACACTTGCAACAGAGCAAGGGGAAGACTTCGCTATTGTGTCCTTGGAGAGGGATAAGAGCTCTTCTTTGTGGTTACACTGGGCTTTGACAGGCTCTGTTCTGATGCTCTTTGTCTTGTGATCCCTCCTGAGCCAGCACTGCCTGATACAACTGCTGGCCTGAGGAGAGATGCTGCCATCCTGATGTCACATAGAAATGATTTTCAGTGCCATTGCTGTGCTGCTGGCAACACACATAGTCTGAGTGAAAGCAAAGCCCTCACAAAACATATCCGTAGGCTGTGCTGATGTGTGAAGTTGCATGTGTGTGTGTGGGCATCAGAGATACTGCATAGAGCACAAAGGCTATTTCATACCTGGCACACAGGGAATATGAGAGGATCTTGGTGTCTGGGGAATGACACTCCAGTGTGAGTCCTTTATTTGGGTTTGTGCATGCCATGTGTGACTAGGGGAAGTACAAAGATCCTATTGAGTGCAGAAACGTCTCACACTCTCATTGCCATGTTCCAGTGGAAATGAGGATATCTGCTCTCACACGGAATCTTCAGTGCAGAAGGGTTGAAGGGTTGGGGCACTTTGAATGCCTTACATTTCCTGAGCCTGAGCAGAACAGTTCCATGCCTGTGGAAGACATGACACCACTGAGAAGCCATGAGTGTTTAGGCATGAGTCCCTGTCTTGGGCTTTCCTGTACCCATAGGAGTGTTGAGTTCAGAGGGACTGTGGGCTGCAATCTGTGGCCTACTGTAGCTGGTAGCACTGCTGACTGGCGAAAGCCCTTGACCATAGGCAACTTGGCAAATTAATGGCAGGACCAGGAGCTCTGTGACAGCTGCTGGGACCACACAGAGAAGCTCAGTGATGGGTGAGTGGAAGGGATGGGAAAGTGGAATAGACACAGAGGGTGAAGCCCAAGAAAACTATACCTTCCCTGTTCTTGATGGCCTTTGGAAATGCCTTTCTCTGAGTTTCCTTCCGCAATATTGCTCCTCCCAAAGCCAGAGGAGTAGAAAGAGGATCCAGGCAACAACATGCCAATAGCACGAAAAGAGTATATGGAAATGATGGGAAGAAATAAATGTCATTATTCACACCAGCTGATGTGATATCAAGAAACCACAGGTCTGTTTCCAGGAAGACGAACCTGGCCTTTGCAAGAGATGCAGCTGTGAATCAGGACATGGACAGGGATTGGTGTGAGACAGACCTACAGAATTGCTGTTTGGAATATTCATGGAAAGGGATTAACGTATGAGAACATGTGCAGCCGGAGCCCATCAGATCTGGTTGAGCCATATGATTGATCCCCACAGACTCTCCTGTCCCCATAATCAGTCTTTTCTTAACTCTGCACCATCTTACTGTGTCCTGTGTACTATGGATGGATAAATTAGTAGTTACTGGGGAGAGTGGCATGAGTGGTTTTGGTGCTGGAGTCAGACTGGGGCTGAAGATGTCCCTGCCATGTGCTGTGTTACTACAGAAGAGGGGTCCATAATTGTGTAATGGAACAGGGGTGGTTCTTGAGCACCAACCAAATGTGGCAGGGGCAGGTTTTATCCCCATAACCACCCGGCTGTACTGCCAAGCGTGAGAGAGATGTGGCATTAGCAAGTGCAGCTGGAGTTGGGGATGGACTGTCTGAATCCCCCCGAAACACGATTTTACGGAGTGGATGACTCTGAGATCCGGGCTCAGCTTTGGATCCGATTGAAACACTGTCAGAAAATTTGTAACCGTGGCTACAGGCTCCCTCTTGGCTTCTTCCACGCTTTCAAATCCTGATGCTCCACTTTCCCTGCCTCCAGTTCGGCTCCGCTGCCGGCCTTTCTCGGGCTCCTCGAGCGGCGACAGCAGCACCACGGGCGGCAGCAGCTGCGGGACCCGGGGCTCGGGGAGCCGCGTTCCCGGGCAGCAGCACACGACCCGTTTCCGATGCTTTGGATCTGCGGCATTACCGTGCACAGCGTGAGGAGCAGGATTCGGCCGCGTCGTTCTCCCCGACCGTTCCCGTCCTGTCTGCCCTTGCCAGCCCTCCTCTCTACGAGTGCTTCAGGAGGGCAGCTTGTTTCCCCTGTGCCGAAGGACAGTTTCCCAGCCGTTGCCCAGATCTCCGCCTACACCGCACAGTCCGGGCTACGCTGCAGTACACGCAAAGCCCAAACCCCGTTACCCGCTCACAGGCGGCCAGCAGCAAGCCTGAGTGCCGCCGGCGCAGGGCGCAGCCCCGGGGCGGAGCTGGCGGCGGCGGCGGGGAGGAGGAGGTGGCGCGGGCGGAGCAGAGCCGGGGCTGGCGGGGGCAGCGCGGCGCGGGCGGCGCAGCGGCGGGATGCGGCAGTGCCGGGCCGCGGGGCTGGCGGGGCTGGCCGCGGTGCTTCTGGGTGCGCGGGGCTGCCGCCGGCGGGGCCGCACTGCCGGGCTGGGGTCGCGAATGCCTCTGTCCCTTCGGCTCCTTTCCGACCTCGTGCACCTCTCTCTTCATGCAAGAAATTGCTATGGGAGAAAATGATTTTTCTGATTTTGCTGCTTCTTTTCTTCTCGGCAGTGGCTGTGAGCAGAGCCCAGGTGCAGCAGGAGCCGTCGCTAGACACCACCGAGGGCACCGGCATCAACATCACCTGCTCACACCCCAACATACAGTCATATGAATACATCCAGTGGTACCGTCAGCTCCCAGGCCAAGGACCAGCATTCCTCGTCAGCTCTTTAAAAGGCTCCAAGGAGGTGCCGGACCCGGAGGGGCAGCTGTGGGTGTCGGCAGACCGCCGCTCCAGCGTTCTGCGTCTCGCCCGGCCCCGGCTCGGGGACGCGGCGCTGTATTACTGCGCCGTGGGCGCACGGGAAGCGAAGCCGGGGCTGCGGCCGGGCACGAACCGCTTGGGGCGGGGCGGGGGCACAGTGCCGTCCGGGCCCGCAGGGGGCGCTGCCTGCATGGCCGCCAAACTCCATCCTGACCGAGATGCGCCGCCCTGAGTTCTCGTCAGAAACGAGCGCTGCACCCATAGCAGCCACTGACTGAGGCCCATGTCAGTCAGAGTTACTTTTGAGTTGGACGAGATGGCATTACAGACAACGCAAGCTGTGTCTAACAACGGAAAGACATTCACACAGTTCTATTTCATCTCGTGATCTCTGCTTCTTCCCCAGTGCAGTACATCTCAGAGCAGAAGAGCCCTGTTCTTACAAGCCCACAGGGTTGCTTATTCCCATGACCTTCCACACAGTCACAGCTTTTCCTGTGAGCACTGCAGAGGCTGTGTTCTCTCTTGTGCAGGTAGCTGTATGCATAAACACTACAGTCAGAGGCCAATAGTTGCTTCCTCTGGCACTGCCAGGTATATCTTGTTCAGCTGCAAGAGACAATGCTGAAGAGACAAGCCTCTGCAGTATCTCATACCCTCTCATTCTTTTGGGAATGGAGAAGGATCTCTATAAACATTCATCCTATAACTGCCAGGAGCAAATCCATTCTCTCTGGGCATCTTTGGAGGCCACACACGGTGAGAAAGAATATCAAAGACTTAAACTAAGATGCAGAAATCTTTAATGAATTTTTAAATAGGAAAATGAGATCACTCCAAGCAGAGGCTCCACAGTACAGGATTCCCATGATCCCATGTTTGTTTGAGTTCATGCTAGGCACGTGTCTTATTTTCTAGCAGAGAATGGACTGGTTCTGAGGAAACTCACATCTCACAGGATCATAGGAAAGAATAAATCAGAGAAAAAGTGGAGACAAAGATAGGTAGGAATGAGGAATGGCAGCTGAGACATGAGGCAAGTTGACATAAAGCCCAGGATTGCCTCTTCCTGCCAGCATTTCATAGAATAGCTGAGGATGGTCAGGTAATCTGAACGCAGGGGCTTGAAGATGTCTTGTTGATCCAGCACCACGTTCCTGTTTTCTGGGAGAATTTCTCCAGGACCAGTGGCTTCAGCAGGGCGGGCACCTTCTGCCACAGGAGCGGCTGCCCAAGCCGGACAAGTCAAAGCCCCCCGAGGAGATGGGCACGCCCTCAGAGCTGAGGATGCGGCCAACAGCAGCGGAGGTGGAGGAGCCCACAACGGTGTTCTGCGGGAAGGAGCTGAGGATGGGTCCAGGCAGGGTCACCACCACGGGAGAGGGCTCAATGACGATGGTGGAGTTCTGGCACTGCCTGACACAGGGCTCATTGCAGCTGCTGGCCAGAGGGGTCGGGCCGCAGGGCTGGCATGGCACACACTGGGTGTAGCAGGACATGACTTGGGACTGGAGGTGCACCTGGAAAGGATAGATAGAATGAAAAAGAGAACCAAGGTATGGGAAGGGTAGCTTGAGTCAAGGAGCCAAGGCAACTTCTCAGAATGGAGGAGGAGGCTGTGACAGCTGGCCACATCCCTTCATTGTGCCAGGGCCCTAGAAAGAGCAGTATGGACCAGGGAGACTCTCACAGGCTGTATAAATCTACAGCCATGTGAGCTGTGTCCCAAGCACTCTCTGCACTGACATTATCCACTCTATTGTCTTCCATAGCATGGAGCTCCACTATCTGATAACATTTCTATTGAGGCAAAATCTCACTAAGAATTAGAAAGAGGGCTTCACACTTACCTCGTTCCCAACAAGAAGGAGACAAGAGAAGAGGATAGGATAGCTGGGATCTGGGTTGCCTTTTATACTGGTCCTTCATTGCTGCAGGCCCAGAGACACCCTTGATAGAGGCAATAATTTTCTGACAAGCCAAGCTGGAATGCATGCCAGCCCTTCTCATCATATGGGCTGTGTTTTGATTTCCTGCAGTGCTACCTTTTCATTTCCAGATTATTTGCCGTGCTCATTCTCTAATGAAGGATTCTTTGAAGTGCTGCAATGAAAGGCCCAAAGATCTGTATGGCAGGATTGCACTGGTGAGGCAGATGGCTCTGCTCAAGTGCTGAATGGGTCCAGAGCAGGCAAGTGACTTCAGCCTGGTTCACTGCAGTGGGGCTGTTGGATGTACCATCCTCAGGAAGAAGCTCCAGCAAGCATCAGCTGGTTCCTGTACATGAGGATTAGACTTGTGATTCTCTTACCTTGGCTTTTCCATTTTTGTGTGTTTTCTGCCTGGATCTAACACTACCTCATGTAACAGTGCCCTCGGAAAAGAGTCTATGACTGTTTTGGATTGTACCATCTCTGTGCAATCTTTCAGCTTACAAAAAAAACCAACACAATACAAAACATTTTCACAGACTTGTAGAATATTTTGTGTTGAATGTTCCTTAAAGATCATCCGGTTCTTTTTCCTCCACAAGCAGGCATACTTTCCACTAGATCACATGTTTTCGAGTCCCATCCAGCCCATCACTGAACACTTCCCACAGTGGGGCATCCACCACATCTCTGGGCAACCTGTTCCAGTGCCTCAACATCCTCACAGTAAAGAATTTCTTCCTCATATCTCACCTAATTCTGCTCTTTTTTACTTGAAAGCCATTGCACCTTGTCCTGTCATTACTTCCACTGATTAAGAATCCCTCCCCATCTCTTGTGAGCACTCTTCACATAATGGAATGCTGCTCTAAAGTCTCCCCAGAGTCTTCTCCTCACTAGGATAAACAACAACAAATCTCTCATAGCAGAAGTTCTCCAGCTGTCTGACCACCTTCGTGGCCCTTCTCTGGAGTCACTCCAACAGGTCAGTATCTTTCTTATGCTGGGGATGCACAGCTGAACGCTCTATTTTCTGTGGGGTTTCACAAAAGCAGGGGGGAAATTCACATTCCTTGCTCTCCTGGTTGCACTTCTTCAGATAGTCTCTCATAGTTACAGTGGGTGCACTCAATCCCTGTGTTCATGTCATTGAGAAGCTGTTTGATAATAACATAGATAATGGGATCGAGTGCATCTTCAGCAAGTTTGCAGATGACACCAAGTTTAGTGGTGCAGTTGATATAACAGAATGAAGAGATCCATCCAAAGGGACCTGCGCAAGCTTGAAGGATGAACCCTTATGAACACCATGAGGCTCAACAAGGCCAAGTGCAAGTTGTATCGATAGAGACTGAGAGAAGGATGTCTTGACAGCAGCCCTGCAAAGAAGAACTTAGGGATCCTGGTAGATGAAAAACTTGACATGAGCCAGGAGTGTGCACTTGCAGCCCAGAAGTCCAAAATTATCCAGGGCTGGATGAAAAGGGAGGTGCCCAGCTGGGCAAGGTAGGTGATTGTTAGTCCCATCTGGAGAACTGTATCTGGTTATGCAGCCCCAGATACACCCTTTTGCTGACTTGGTGGTGAAGTGCTGGAAGAGGCAGCCCAGAGAATTTGTGGGTGCCCTATCACCCACATTGAAGGCTAGGTTGGATGGAGACCAGGTAACTTGTTCTCATGCCTGATTTAGCTGTTGTCATCTGAGCCCTCAGCATGTTATTTGAAACTAGATGACCTTTGAGATCCCTTCCAAACCAAGGACTTCAGTGATTCTACGAGTTCATGGTCACTGCTGCCAAGGCTGTCTTTGATTTTCAAATTTCCAACAAACCCTTCATGGCTGATGAGATAGTGTCCTGCATAAAGATATTTTCTTTCACATGACACAGCAAGGTAAGGACTGATTTTTTTTCCTTATAGTGTAATCAAGGATTTCTTTCTCAGCTTTAAGAGACAGTGCATGAAAGATGAATCTCTTCAGTGTGTCCCAACCTTCACTGCCTAGAGGGGTGAAAGAGTGCCCTCAGCTAATTCCCACCAAAGCAATTGTTTTTTCCTAAGACCATTTCTATGCAGTTGTAAGCATAACAGGCGGAAACGCTCAAGAATGCATCAAAGTAAAAGCCTCTAGTGTGGTAAGCAGCAGGAGAAAACAAGACACTGTTACCCTATAAAAAGAGGAGTTCCTATGGGGGATCCATCTACCAGTCCCAAAAATGGAGAGAGACAAATATGTCAGTCCAGACTGTTTGTAGGAGGATCTAAAACAGATCTTTGAGGAAAAAAGATTGTAAAGAAACTTGAGAGCAAGAGTGAGTGGAAGAGAGTAATGGTAGACACTGGCCATGCTGTCAGAGAAGCCAGGGTAGACATTTCCTCTCGTGTGCAACCAAGGCCAACATGTCAGGTACGGGGCATGGCAGGCACTGGTCATAGGAGGACATGGATCAGAGCTGAAGTTTTACCTCCCAGAGACTGCAGGGAGAAAACAGAGCACAGGGACATATGAGGAGCAGTTTGTCATCCTGCCAGGAACACTCAATGGACCATTTTGGCTGCCTGGTAGAATCACAGAATTGTAGAGATTGGAAGGGACATCTTAACATCATCTAAATCAACTCCCATGCTAAAGCGTGTTTCCTAGATCAGGCAGAACAGGAAAGCACCCAGGTGAGTTTTCAGTATCTCCCGGGAAAGAGACACCAAAGGCTCCCTGGGCAGCTGGTTCCAGTGCTCTGCTCTTTCATGCTCAAAGTAAAGAAGTCCTTTCCCATGTTCGGATGGAGATTCCTGTTCGTGCCTGTTCCCACACTGGGCACTTCTGAAACGATCCTGGCCCCATTCTCTTGACACCTGCCATTTTGATACTTATAAGCATTGATGTGATCCTCTCTTCGACTCCTCCAAGTTAACAATCCCAGGAATTTCAGCCTTAAATCCAAAGGAAGATGCTTATGGCCCGAGAAAAATGAAGAAAGGGGTAAAAGATTGTCTTCACTTTATCCAGGTGTGATGTGAAAAGCCTGGCCAGATGCAACGAGGCTTCTGTCTCTGTCAGTGGAAAATCCATCTCAGCCAAGCCCCACACAGGCATGATCAGAAAAGGACGTGGGAGAAGGGCTACAGACTCATGTGGATACCAGGAAGAAAGAGGTGAGAGATGTTGATTAGAGGGTGAAGGAATCGAGCTGCCTTTAATGGAGACCCTGCACTGCCCCAGGCGCAGGCATAGCCTTCATGGAAGTGACAATTTTCTGTAGAGCTTGTGATGGATGGAAAACAGTCCATGACATGAGCTGTGTGGCTGCTTCCCTTCATGCTCTTGTTCATTTTATGGCTTCTGCCACAACCATTCCGTCATGCAGGCTTCTTCTGAGTGCTGGGATTGAGAGGCCATAGCTCTTCTGGGCCAGGAATGAGTGAGTGATGGCAGAGGACTCAAAGTGCTGAGATGGATCCATCTCAGGCAAGTGATGCTGGCCTGGGCTGGATCTATAATTCCAGTATCAATTTACATCTCCATACAGGGAAAAATTTTATACATTGTGCTTTGAAAATCATTCCATCAAAAAAAAACCCATGCCTAGACAAAATGGTTTGGCATTTGCCAGATTTAACACTTTTTTTGGAAACATTATATGTACTTGTTGTTATCCAGAGAGAACTACTATGACGTCCAGTTAGATTTTTCCACTATTAGAGAACTATCCTGCTTCCATGTTCCAGGAAACACAGTCACCCACACATTCTCTACTGTGCTTCTCTTCAGTCTCCCTCAGTCCTGTTGCCTTGATGGTCTGGCTCTGATGAGATGGGCCCAGACGATATTGCTTATAGCCTTATTGTTTGTTACCTGGAGAAAAAAGGCCAATCTCCACCTTGCTACAACCTCTTTTCAGGCAGTTGTAGAGAGTGATAAGGTCACTCCTCAGTCTCCTATTCTCCAGACTAAGCAGTCCCAGTTCCCTCTGCCTTTCTTCATAAGAATTCACAGCTTCATTGCCCTTCTCTGGACATGCTCCATTACCTCAAGTCAGGAGACAAAATTGAACACAGTACTCAAAGAGCAGCTTCACCAGTGCTGAGAAAAGAGGGATGATCTCCTCCCTAGTCCTGCTGGACATTCTATACTATTTCTGATACAAGCCAGTACGACACCAGCATTCTTGACCACCTAAGCACACACACTGCTGGCTCACATTCAGCCAGCTATCAGTCAGTGTCCCCAGAACCTTTTCCTCCGTACAGCTTTCCAGCCACTCTGCCCCAAGCCTGTAGCCATTCCTGGAGTAGCTGTCACCAAAAAGCAGGACTTGGCATATGGCCTTGTTCATGGTCACTTCATCCCAAATTGGTGTTATCTAAAACTTGCTGAAAGTGCACTCAATTCCTTCATCCAGATCAGTAATAGTGACACCGAAGTGGAGCGTCCCCAACACTGAACTCTGGGAATCACCACACATGACATGTCTCCAGCTGGATTTAAATCCATCCACTATCACTCTCTGGGCCAGCTTTTTGCCCAGCCAACAGAATACCTAACCACGGTCTGTCAGCATCTCCAGGAATATACTGTGGGAGACAGAGTCAAGGGCAATCTAGGTAGACTGTGTCAACAATGACAGGATGAGGGGAAATGGTTTTAAACTGTAAAAGCGTATATTTAGGCTAGATATCAGGAAGAAATTCTTTACAGTGAGGGGTAGTGAGAAACTGTCACAAGTTGGCCAAGTGAGGTTGTAAATGCCCCTGTCATGGAATCACCCAAGGGCAGGCTGGATCGGACTTGGAGCAACCTGGTATAGAGAGAAGTGTCCTTGCCTATCAGAGGGGGGGTTGGAACTAGATGATCTTAAAGGTCCCTTCCAATTCAAATCATTCTATGATTCGATGGTTCTATGACATGTCTAAGCAGAGATTCAGCAAGGCAAGGTCTAACTGGCATTGTTTATGGAGTAAGTAGGGATGACTTACTCTGCTTCAAAAGACAGTGCCTGAAAGATGAGATCTCTGCAGTGTGCACTGGTCTGCAATATCTAGAGCAGTGATCTATGCACAGACGGAGGGGGGGGAGAAATAAACAGGGAAGGGCACACGACAGGATGCAGCAAATATTTAATGAGTCTGAAGAAGGAAATCAAATCACCCCAAGAGTGGACACTGAGTGTGGGGAGTGGCAGGAACAGACAAGAATCATTCCTATGGCAACATTGCCACCGGGCCCAGATTTACCCTCCAAGAATTATAGAGAGGCAAGCAGGTAGCTCACAGCTGGTTTTGAATGTACTAAAAGAGATCTCTGAGGGAAAAAGACAGCAGTGATATTAGACAGGAAAAGATAGGGAAAGACAGTATTGATAGACTTTCTCCGTGTTGGCAGAGAAGTCAGTCTGGCCTCTTACTTCCTTGTTCTGTCCAGTGCCGTGTTCAGTGTTCATGGCTGCCTTTGTCTGGGGCAGTGTCCAGCACCTTTGGCTGGGGGGACACTTCTGCCACATTACCGGAAATGCAGGAGAGGTCAAAGCCCCCCGAGGTGATGGGCACGCCCTCAGAGCTGAGGATGCGGCCAACAGCAGCGGAGGTGGAGGAGCCCATGGCGGTGTTCTGCGGGAAGGAGCTGAGGATGGGTCCGGGCAGGGTCACCACCACGGGAGAGGGCTCAATGGCGATGGTGGAGTTCTGGCACTGCCTGACACAGGGCTCATTGCAGCTGCTGACCAGGAGGTGGGGACACAGGGCTGGCATGGCACACACTGGGTGTAGCAGGACATGTCTTGGGACTGGAGGTCTACCCAGGTGAAGGGGCATCTCGCATGAGGAGCAAACTGCAATCATGCCATGAGGGAGCTAAGGTATATACACCTCTGGGAGATGGATAGTTAAGGGTTTTTGGTTTCATCCTGCCAGAGCCTAGAAATAACCAGCAGGATCTATGCAGCTACTGTCCAGACTCTAGCTCATAAAGTTTCTCAGTTCAGGTGCAGACTGCCTCCACGGCAAATCTTCTCAACACTTTACTCTCCCATGAAAAGCAGTCCCAAGATTTGGCATGGGACAGAACTGAGAGCAGCTGAGTCCTCCATTTGGAGGAGGAGGTCAATAAGAAGGGGCTTTACACTCACCTGGTTCCCATGGAGAAGGCCATAAGAGTAGTAGATGAGAGGGCAATGAGATGCACTGCCTTTTGTAGTGGACTCAAGCTGATCCATGTCCAGAGGCATCACTTCCAGCAGTGATTATTTTCTGACAAGTTCATCTTGAATGCAAGACATTCCAGACTGTACGTTGGTTTCCTGTGCATTGCAATTTCATAGCCCACATTACGCTACGTTTGATCTTCATTGAAGGCATCTTTTCAGTGGCAAGAAAGGAGACTCCTAAGATTGAGCTGCTGCACAGCTCCTGAGTGTGACCTCATCCCACCTCACAGTGCTCTCAGGAAAATCCTGCTGCCCTCTTTTGCCTCTTCCTATTCTGCCCCAGACATGAGAACGTAGGGACAGAAGTTGTGCAGGATCTTTTACAGATTCCAGAAGAAAAGCATGACAGTAAATTGTGAAATAAAGTGGTGGTTTTAGTAAAACATAATAGGAACAGGTCTAGAGACAGCAAATAAATCCCAACTGCCTTCTGGTGCTGGGAACCCCATCTTTGTTCTGCATCAGACAGAACCAGTGGATTTACCCAAGTCACACTGTGCAGAACATTTCCATAGAGAGCTCCATCTTCTCCTTCAATGATGGAACTCTGTTTCTGTCATTATACTCTCCAGCACACGGAGCACAGCTGGGCATGGTGCACTCCAGCTGATTCCGTTATTGCAGTTCCTCAGGGATAAGGGAAGGGCTGCTCAATTCCTAAATGCATTGCCCCACAGATTGTCTAGCCATGGATGCCGGGAAGAATACATCAAATGCATTCCTTTCACTCCTTCCTACAGTGTTTCAGAGGAAATGTCTTCAGATGCCATTGTTAAATATGCAAAGGACAACACAATGATTCGCAGCAGCCAGCCTGGTTGTGCAGAAGGTAAATCACATACAAGATTGAAAAACTGAGGACAGTGAACATTGTATGCTTAGATTTTGGTAAGACCGCTTTGGCTGCCTGTTGTATAGTCCCCACACAACCAAATGAGTGAGTTGTGGCAAGGGTTAATGCATAGTTATGTAGGTGGAAAACTGGATGATCTGCTGTGCTCTAACAGTTGTGGCTGCAATTCAGAGTACAGCTAGGGACTGGAATCTATTACAGGGTCTATCACAGATCAGTGCTGTACCAGTGGTCTTTAATTTTCCATACTTGCTCTTCATGACTGGACAAAGGGCACTATGAGCATGTGTGTGGAGGGCCCCTGAATGGGAAGAGCTGTCAGAACATCATGAAACATGATGAGAGAAAAGGGGAGCCAATCAAGCAGCATACAGAGACAAACAGACACTCAAGGATAGCATAGAAATGATGGAAAGAAATAAATCTCACATTCACCCAAGCTGATGAGGAATCTAGAAACCACACGTCTGTTTCCAGGAAGATGAACCTGGCCTTTGCAAGAGATGCAGCTGTGAATCAGGACATGGACAGGGATTGGTGTGAGACAGACTTATATCATGTTGGTGTATACAGGGAAAGACATGAACATATGAGGAGTGATAGAGGGGCATGCAGCAGGAGCCCCTCAGATCTGGTTGAGCCATGTGACTGATCATCACAGTCTGTTGTGTCCTTTCAATTAATCTTTTCTTAACTCTGCACCATCTCACTCTGTCCTGTGCACACGGATGGAGAAATTATCAGTTACTGGGGAGAGTGGCATGAGTGGTTTTGGTGCCAAACTGGGGAGTCAGACGGGGGATAAAGATGTCCCTGCTGTGTGCTGTGTGCTGCTACAAGAGCAGGGGCCCATGATTGTCTAATGGAACAGGGGTGGTTCTTGAGCCACAACCCAATGTGGCAAGGGCAAGTTTTTATCCCCGTAACCACCCAGCTGTACTGCCAAGGGTGAGGGAAATGTGGCATTTAGTACATGCAGCTGAAGTCAATTGACTGCTCACAGGCTGTGTGTGGGCTGATGAGGGTGGGGATGGATTGGCTGAATCCTCCCTAAAAGAGATTTTACAGTGTGGATGTCTCTGTGATCCGGACTCAGCTTTGGATCCAGCTGAACACTGTCAGGGAATCTATAACCATGCCATTCAAAGCCTGATGCTCCACACTCACAGCCCCCCATCCCGGCGCTGCTTCCGGCCCTTCTCGGGCTCCTCGAGCGGCGACAGCAGCACCACGGGCAGCAGCAGCTGCGGGACCCGGGGCAGCATGAGTCCTGTGTTTGGGCTGGTTCATGACCTGTGTGCCTGGGAGAAGTACAGAGATCCTGTAGAGTGCAGAAAGGTTGCAGCACTTTGAAGGCTTTGCGGTTCCTGAGCCTGAAGAGCAGAGTTCCATGCTTGGGGAAGACATGACACCACTGAGAAGCCATGAGTGTTCGGGCATGAGTCACTATCCTGGGCCTTGCTGCACCCATGGGAGTGTTGAGCTGAGAGGGACTGGGGGCTCCAATACAACAGGCAATACGATAGGCAATACTACCAGACTTCTGTAGCTGGTAGTAACACTGCCCTGTGGAAGCCATAGACAACTTGGCAAAAGCATGGCAAGGCCAGGAGCTCTGCTGAAGGCTGCTAGAATTACACAGGAAAGCTGTACCCTCAGTGATGGGCTGAGTGGAAGGCATGGGAAAATGGAATAGAGACAGAGGTACAACTTCAAGAAAGTTATGCCTTCCCAGTTCTTGATGGCCTTTGGAAACAACTTTCTCTGAGTCTCCTTCCCTAATACTGCTCCTCCCAAAGCCAGAATTTCCCCAGCGTGTGAAACTTCTGTCTTCGCAGAGACTCTCCAATGCAGAGGATCTTCTCTTGAGGATGTCATTTGCCCAGGTTTCCATTCACTTGGCATGCTCAAGGGTCAATACCTGTGTAAGGAGAAACACTGCAAGACAGGGACTGATGGTCACTGGTGGAGGAGGAACATCTAGGAATGTCTTCCTCTCCTTCAATAAAATGTGCTTGGAAGATGAATGCCAGCACTGTACAATGACCTCCAATAACCAGAGGAGTGGCAGAATCTCCCTAGCTTGTTCTCACCAAAGACATCCCTTTCTTCCCTGCCATCTCTACAGAGATGGGTGGAAAAAAAAAACACCAGTAGAGAAGGAAAAGCTAAATGATGCAGAAAGTGTTTAATAAGTCTGAGGAGAAATTAAGTCATTGCAAGAAGAGCAGAAGATGTAGACAAGAATCAGTTCCCCTTTCTTATGGCAGCAGGGCCACAGAGAACGGTATTTCAGCACAGAGTTTAAGAGACATGAGAATTTCACTCAGGGTTCATTTTGTGGATACTAACAGACATGTCTAAAGGGAAAAGACAATAATAAAATTGAATAGAAAGAGTGAGTGAAAGACAGTATGAGCAGACATTCTCCATGTTGTCAGAGACTCCAGGCTTGCCAGTACATGTCTGTCTTCCAGGGCAAAACCAGCATCACAACATTTGTTCTTTGGTCCATGCTTAGCATTCCTGGGGGTCCTTGCCTGGGACATCATCCAGCGCATTTAGCAGGGGGGGCACCTTCTGCCACAGCTGCGGTTGGAAATGCAGGAGAGGTCAAAGCCCCCCGAGGTGATGGGCACGCCCTCAGAGCTGAGGATGCTGCCAACAGCAGCGGAGGTGGAGGAGCCCACGGCGGTGTTCTGCGGGAAGGAGCTGAGGATGGGTCCAGGCAGGGTCACCACCACGGGAGAGGGCTGGATGACGATGGTGGAGTTCTGGCACTGCCTGACACAGGGCTCATTGCAGCTGCTGGCCAGAGGGGTCGGGCCGCAGGGCCGGCATGGCACACACTGGTCACAGCAGGACATGTCTCAGGGATGGAGGTGCACCTGTTTGGAAGCAGAACATGGGGATACGTGAGGAGCAGCCTAGCATCACACTATGAGGAAATCAATGCACATGCAGTGCTGGGAGCTGAAGACAGTTCAGGGATGTCCAAGGGATTCTTGGTCTCATCCTGACAGAGCCCAATGAAAGCCACTGGGACCTATCCAAATACTGCCCAGACCCTAGTCCTCAAGACATCTGATTACAGCAGGCTATGACATTCTCCCCACTTCTCCATCATGACAAGCAGAAACAGGCATGGAACAGAACTAATAGCAGCTGTGAATTCTGCTGAGCTCAGAATTCTGTTTGGAGAAGGAAGAGAACAGAACAAGAAGGGGCTTCACACTCACCTGGTTCTCAAGAAGATGGAGGCAGGAGAAGTGGATGAGAGAGCAAGGAGCTGGGCTGGCTTTTATAGTGGACCCAAGCTGCCCCATTTCCAGAAGCATCCCTAGAAGCAGTGATTATTTTGTGAGAAGAACCTCTTGAATGCAAAACATCTCAGCTATTGGTATGGGCTGTGTGTTGGTTTCCTGTGTTGCTGCTACTTGTCACATCCTGATTTATGTCACTCCCATTGCTCATGGAAGGCATCTTTTGAGTGGCACGAAGAAAGACCCAAGCATTTCCAGGCAGCACAAACCAGTGTGGGCAGAACACTCAGCTCACGTGCTGGAAGAATCGAGCAAAGGCAAAAGATGTCAGCGCAATTAGTAGGGCAGTGGTGTGAAACAACCAGAGCCTGTGTGCTGGATTTATGCAGCTGCCTGTGGGTACAGAGGTTTGCATGACTCCACATGTGTGCATCAGCAGCTGAGTGTTTGTGTGACTTGTGTGTTCCACATAGCAACACCTGTCCCGGTCACATCAGAAGCACTTCAGGATACCAAAAGATTCTGTTAATCTGTGTCTTCCTACTAACAGAGCTAATGGAGAAGAGAGGAACTGGAAGGCACCTGCAAATATCATCAGGTTCAATTGTCTGACCCCAGTAGTGCTAACCCCAAGGAAAGGCATGATAATGAAAGCATTATGAAAATGTGTCAACACTGACAGGCATGGGCCTTCATCCACCTCTCCATGAAGCCTGATCCAGTGTTTGACCACCTTCACATCAATCTATTCTTTTTCTAGTGATGCAAGCTGCAACAAGCTGGCCAATCCTCTTTGAAGGATACACTGGACTCTGTTTAGGTAACAGGAAGAAGCTGTGCCCTTGTACCAACCAGATAACAGTGATATGCTGAACATCTTGTATGGAGTAGGTGAGGAAAGTTCTGCTTTGAATCAGCTCATTTTTTGTAAGCAAGTATTGTGTGAGTGAGGCCAAGAGCTAACTGAGCATTGTTGGACATGGGGTTCATGCAGTGAACACAGGGAGGAAGTGTAATGACTTCATCCAGAGGCTGTGGGACCACCAGCACAAAAAGACTGAACTTGTGGGAGGAGGCTGAATCCCATGTCAATGATTTTATGTGGAAGTATGGAATATCTGTATACTGTATGGGAAAGCATTTGTGTATGTGTAACATAAGTAATGAATATAAGCTGAGAATCTTTTTTGAAACTTATGCATGATTGGTGGAGCTCATCCCCCATGCATCCAGCACCCAAAATAAAGAATTTCTGCTTTCTAACACTCCAATTTGAGTGTTAGGGTGTTTCATGTTTGAATGATTGACAGTATCACGACTATCTGGCCTGAACATCTGGTGAAGTTTTGTGCCATTCCTGCACATTCCTGCACCAGGGAGGTGGTGGAGTCACCGAGCCTGGGGGTGTTCAAGGAAAGGCTGGATGTTGTGTTGAGGGACGTGGTTTAGTGGGAGCTGTTGGGAATAGGCGAACGGTTGGACTGGATGAGCTTTTAGGTCTTTTCCAACCTTGGTGATTCTATGATTCTATGATTCTATGTCTGGTCATCAGTTGCCAGGCTGGAAAGACCAGCACCTCCCTCTCTGCTTTCGTTCCTAATAAGTAGAAGTGAGCAACGGGGCTGCCTCAAAGTTTTGTGTTCACCAAACTGGACAACCCAAATGTTCTCGTGCTCTCCTCGTAGGATATGCCTTCCAGCCCCACTATCAGCTCTGCTGTCCTTCTCTGGCTGCTTTAAAAACATTTAAAAACTTATGTTTTGGAGCCCAGAACTAGGAAATGCATCCCATTTGAGGACACAACAAGACTATGATGAATAATTGATGTTTTTTGAATTGAAGATTATGGAGTGTCTAGTATGCCTTAAAATTCACTTGGACCACTTTGCTCCCAGGGCACAATGTTGGTTCTCCTTGAGTCTGATGTCAGCCAGCACACCCTGATCCCTGCAGGATGTCTGTGCTTCTCAGGTGCTCAGATACACTTCAAGGGTGTCCCCAGTCTAAGACTAGAGCCTCAACAGCACAAAGCAAAGAAGGCACAGCAGGTGGAGTCGATGGCAAATAGGCCATTCAGAGAGGCAGTCAGGATGGTTGAGGCTGGAAGATGGTGATATACTGGAAGAAGAATAACACTCTTGCTTCAGTCACAGACATGGAGCTTCAGTAGAGGCACAGCCCTCTGGACACTGGGGAGAATGTATTAGATCCATTGAAGGGGCTCATCAGAAGAGGCTGAACCCAAGTTTTGTGACTGGAGGAAGGAGAAAAGTTGTGTGAGACTTAAAGGAGACACCTCCCTTTGGTAGTGGATTCTCCAGTTTGCTGAAGTCTCAGCTGTTTGATAGAAGGAATGGCAACTCCAGTGCTGCAGAAGGACTCTAAAAGTTTGTCTGCATATCAGTGCACAATCCCTTGCAACTCTTCCATGCATTTCTGCTTCCAGACAGCAGTGACTTTAGCCACCCTAATAAATGCAGGATGGGCAGTATGGCTGGACATGAGGAACACTGGAGATTTCTGAACTTGAAAAAAGGGGCAGTCTAAGTGTGAGCAAACCAGAGACATTGCTGCCCAAGCAGAGATACAGTCAGAAGCACCACAGGGCAGCCTGAGATGAAAACTTGCCAGGAAGAACTGTAAGAAAAGCATCCTTAAATCTATTATGGCAGCAAAAAGAAAGCTAAGGAGATTGTATGTCCTCTGGACCATGAGATGCCAGAAATAGTGAGAAGTGAATATACATATGAATATATAATGAATGCATGGTTTTCATCCATTTTCATGATAGTTCTTTTAGACAGATCTACAGGGCCCCTGAGCTTCTTTCACAGAATATATGGTAGTGAAAAAGCACTCCCTATACAGGAAGAAAACCTACCAGAGAACTTAAAACAGTTGGACATACTTGTGCCCTTGAAATCTGGGTTGCATCCAAGGTGATTGATCTGGTGATGTTGTTGTGATGCAGCTCTGTCATCCCTCAGAGGTCATGACAGTTCAGGGATGGTTGTCGTAGCTAGGAAAAGTAACATGCATCAAAAACATTTAGCAGGACTGAGAAAGGGAACTCACAGAATCACAGAATTGTAGGGGTTGGAAGGGACCTCCAGAGATCATCGAGTCCAACCCCCCTGCCAAAGCAGGTTCCCTACAGCAGGTCGCACAGGTCGACATCCAGGCAGGTCTGGAACATCTCCAGAGAAGGAGACGCCACCACCTCCGTGGGCAGCCTGTTCCAGTGCTCCTCACCTCACTGTAAAGAAGTTCTTGCGCATATTTGTGCGGAACTTCCTATGCTGCAGTTTCAGGGAACTACTGACCAACTGTACTCCTTTAATACCTTCCTCAACGGTGTATTTTGGAGCAGGTAAATTAAGATGCCACTACGTGACATCCCAAAGACAGCGAGGTGGTTTGGAGCAGCCCGGGGCGGAGCTGGCGGAGGGGAGGAGGCAGCGCGGGCGGCGGAGCGGCGGGATGCGGCAGTGCCGGGCCGCGGGGCTCCTGGGTGCGCGGGGCTGCCGCCGGTGGGGCTGCGGGGGGCCTGGGCCGTGCTCGCCTCTGTCTGTTCGGCTTCTTTCCGACCTCGTGCACCTCTCTGAAATTTCTGGGGGAGAAAATGGATTTTCTGAGTTTGCTGCTTCTTTTCTTCTCGGCAGTGGCTGTGAGCAGAGCTCAGGTGCAGCAGGAGCCGTTGGCAGAGACAACCGAGGGGGCTGCAGTCAACATCACCTGCTCACACCCCAACATACAGATCGGCTATTCCATCTACTGGTACCGTCAGCTACCGGGCCGAGGCCCCGCATTCCTCGTCAGCGCTGTCAAAGGCTCCAAGGAGGTGCCGGACCCGGAGGGGCAGCTGTGGGTGTCGGCAGACCGCCGCTCCAGCGCCCTGTGTCTCGCCCGGCCCCGGCTCGGGGACGCGGCGCTGTATTACTGCGCCGTGGGCGCACGGGAAGCGAAGCCGGGGCTGCGGCCGGGCACGAACCGCTTGGGGCGGGGCGGGGGCACAGTGCCGTCCGGGCCCGCAGGGGGCGCTGCCTGCATGGCCGCCAAACTCCATCCTGACCGGGGTGCGCCGCCCTGAGCTCTCGAGCAAAGCGACCGTAGCAGCCAGTCGCTGCCACCAGTGTCAATCAGACACAGCTGTATTTGAGGTAGGTAGGCTGGCATAACTGACAACACAAGCTGTGTTTTACATCCACACAGTCTTATTCCATCTCCTACTCTCTAGTCCTTCCCCAGTGCAGTACATATGAGAGCAGGAGGAGCCCTGTTCCTCAGAGGCTGTAGGATGCTATGTTCGTATGGCCCTCTGCACAGTTTTTCCTGTGAGTGCTGCAGAGGCTGTGTTCTCTTTAGGGGCAGTTGTAGGCATAAACACTCTTCTTCAACTGCAGGTGCAAAGCTAAAGAGAGCAGTCTCTACAGTGTGTTATTACCTCTCATTCTCCTGGGAATGGAGAAGGACTTCCATAAACATTCATCCTATACACTTGAGGAGCAAAGTCTTTCTCTTTGTACCTCTGGAGGCTGTGCACGTCAGAAGAAATATCAAAGACTTAAATTAAGATGCAGAAAGTTTTAATGAATGTCTAAATAGGAAAATGAGATCACTCAGAGCAGAGGCTCCACAGTACAGGATTCCCATGATCCCATGTTTGATTTCATGCAGGGCACATGGCTTATTTTCTATCAGAGTATGGACTGGTTCTGAGGAATCTCACATCCTAGAGGTTAACAGGAAAAAAAAAAAATCAGAGAAGATGTGGAGACAGAGACAAGTAGGAATGAGGAATGAGAGCTGAGACATGAGGCAGGCTGTCAGAAAGCCCAGGATTGCCCCTTCCTGCCAGCATTTCATAGAATAGCTGAGGATGGTCAGGTAATCTGAATGCAGGGGCTTGGAGATGTCTTGTTGATCCAGCACCACGTTCCTGTTTTCTGGAAGAATTTCTCCAGGACCAGCGGCTTCAGCAGGGCGGGCATCTTCTGCCACAGGAGCGGCTGCCCAAGCCGGACAAGTCAAAGCCCCCCGAGGTGATGGGCACGCCCTCAGAGCTGAGGATGCTGCCAACAGCAGCGGAGGTGGAGGAGCCCACAACGGTGTTCTGCGGGAAGGAGCTGAGGATGGGTCCGGGCAGGGTCACCACCACGGGAGAGGGCTGGATGACGATGGTGGAGTTCTGGCACTGCCTGACACAGGGCTCATTGCAGCTGCTGGCCAGAGGGGTCGGGCCGCAGGGCCGGCATGGCACACACTGGGTGTAGCAGGACATGACTTGGGACTGGAGGTGCACCTGGGAGAGAGAGATAAAAGGAAGTAGAGCATGAGGATATGTGAGAGGCAGCCTGGATACCCAAGACAACTGCTAAGGCTGGAAGAGAAAGCTGAGAAAGGAGGTCACGTTCCTTCAGTATGCCAGGACCCTACAGTGAGCTCTCTGACCCAGAGAGACTTTCTGAGTGCATCAATTTAAACACGTGTAAGCTGTGGCCCAAGCAAAGTTTGTATAGACATCATCTCCACTGTGGTCTCCCATAGCATGGCACCCACTGTCTGATAACATTTCTATTCAGTTAAGGGGATAACAGAGGGCTTCACACTTACCTGCTTCCCAACCAAAAGAAGGCAAGAGAGGTGGATGGAAGAGATGGGAACTGAGCTGCCTTTTATATCGGTCCTTCATCGCTGCAGGTCTACAGGCACGGTTGATACAAGCCTTAATTCTCTGACTAGCTAACCTTGAACGCAAGCTGTCCCTTCTCATTACATGGGCTGGTTTTTGGTTTCTTGCAGTTCTACCTTTTCATTTCCAAATTAATGATGTGACCATTCTCTAATGAAGGTTTCTTTGAAGTTCTGTGATTAAAGGCTCAAAAATTCATAGGGCAGAATTGCAGTGATGAGACTGAAGCCTCAGCTCAAGTGATGATCAGATCTGGAGGAGGCAAGTGAAGTCAGCGTAGCTCAGTGCAGAGGGGCTGTCGTGGTTTTATCACTTTTGTTGACAGTATTCCACATCATAATATCGTGTAGAATATTGAAGTTAGAGAGCTAATTCTCTTTCTTCTATGGATTGCTGATAGTTTTGTTACCTGTCTCAGAAGAGAAGAATGGACTACAATTCCCAGAAGAATTCTCTGTTCCATTTCCATTTTTCTGGTCAGAAGATAAATCTACCTGGGACAAAGACTATTTCTTTTCTGCTGTATCAAAGATGGGTGCAAAAAATCAAAAGTAGGTCAGAGAAGACTCGTTTTAGGTCTAACTAAAAGAGATCCTTGAGAAAAAGGGATTGTTAACAGAATTGAGATAAAATTATATAAAAGAGTGTAATGGTAGACACTGGACACGTTGTCAGAGAAGCCAGGGCAGACATTTCCTCTCAACTGCAACCGTCCAACCCATTGCTTCTCTACTAAGTTCACCATCTATCAAATCCACATCTCTCCATCTCTCCAGAGGATGAAAGTCCCCCTTTATGTCTTTGCCTTATCCCCTGTCAACAAAGATTGCCTTTCTTCCAGTCTACATGAGACCAGCAGAAAGAGGATCGTGTAGAGGCAAAGGTTGGAATGCAGACAATTGTAAGGACTCTGAAGAGAGAAATGTTCTCACCTGGAGAGCAAGCTGTCAGTACATGCAGTAACCAGCAGCTGACAGAAATTTGTGCCCATCCTCTATTGCAGGTATCCTGCTGATAACCTGTCTGCCTCCCCCACAGAGGGAGAGCAGCCAGCAGAACCCCAGGAAGGCTTTTGGGGTCTTCAGGTGTACAAGGAGAGAAGAAAGGGAAGAGTAGAAGACAGAGAAATTGGGCTTTAGTCATGTTTTCAGAGAGACCTAGCTGCCCTGTTTTTAGAAGAGAGCACTGGACACTCAGCCTTCCTGACATCAATGGCCACGTTCTTAGTCCTCAGTTCAGCATCACCTTCTGGGTCCCCAGGGGAGCTGGTCTGGAATCTCATCACTGGCTTCAGTGAGTGGGGAATCATCTGCTGCAGCAGCATCTGTAAATGTAGGAGAGTTTTCAGCACCTGGAGCTGATGAGAAACTGTAACAGCTGCAGATGCTGCCAATGGCAGCAGAGGTGGAGCATCTCACAGTATGGCTCTTCAGGAATGAGCCGTCAATGGGGGCAAACAAGACCATCACAGGAGGGGTCACAGTGATGACGTTGGTCTTCTGACACTGTGTCATTGCAGCTTTTGACCAGCAGGGTCAGGCCACAAGGCTGGTACGGCAGGCACAGGATCAGGCTTAAGCTGTATGTGGGAGAGACGCTGAGGAGAAAGCAGATCACAGGGACATATGAGGAGCAGACCACCACGCTCCCATGAGCACACCAATGTAGCATTTTTTTGGCTAATGGAATCAGAGAATTTTCCCTAGATCAGGCTGAACAGGAAAGCATCCAGGTAGGTTTTGAATATCTCCAGAAAAGGAGATTCCAAAATCTCTCTGGGCTGCTTGTTCCAGTGCTCTGCTCATTCATGCTCAAAGTGAAGAAGTTATCTTCCATGTTTGGATGGAGCTTCCTGTGTACTAGCTTGTGCTTTTTCCCACCTGTTCTGTCACTGGGCACCTCTGAAAAGGATCTAGCTGCATCCTCTTGACACCTGCCATTTCCATATTTATAAGCATTGTTAAGATCTCCTCTTTGTCTTCTCCAGGCTAAACGCTCCCAAGACTCTCAGCCTTTGGTCAAAAGGAAGATACTTATGGCCATATAAAATTGCAGAAATAGACAAAATGCAGTCTTTGCTTCATCCATAGATGATCTAAAAGGAAAAGCCAAATGCAATGAGGCTCCTGTCTCTCTCTTATTGGAAAATCTGTCTGAGACAAGCCCCACATAGATTCTGACACAGTCCTCCTCCTACCCTCTCCCTCCCATAAGAATCAGCACCAGAACCCAGCACATAAGGTATCTGCATAATCAAAAATAATGTGGGAGAAGGGTTTCAGGCCCACGTGGTTACCGAGAAGAAATAGGTGAGAGATGTTGATCAGAGGGTGAAGGAATCCAAGGAATTATGGTGACCCTGCAATGCCCCAAGCGCAGGCATAGCCTTCATGGAAGTGACAATTTTCTAAGGTGCTTGTGAAGAATGGAAAACAGTCACTGACATGAGCTGTGTGGCTGCTTCCCTTCATGTTGTTTGTTCATTTCCTTGCTTATGCCACAACCATTCTGTCATGCAGGCTTCTTCTGAGTGCTGAAATTGAGAGGCCCCGGGACTTCTGGGCCAGGAATGAGTCAGTGATGGCGGAGGACTCAAAGTGCTGAGATGGATCCATCTCAGGCAAGTGATGCTGGCCTGGGGCTACCTTGCATGCAGATCTGTCAAGTCTTCCTCTTTTTCTCCATTCCAAGCATCTCCAGTGGTCTCCTGTGTTTAGATGCCATGGCAGGTGGGCTGGACTGCTCACCAATTTCACCTGTTTCAATTCTCTTCCTCATTCCGTCAAACTGTGTGACCTCCTTGGGCTCCTCTCGCTGGGCCATCCCTGCACGTCTTCAAACTGTGCTGGCAGCTCATCTGGAGCCTTGTCCTGCTCAGAGCACTGCAGCCTTGCCCTACCACAAAAGTCGCCAGTGTCTCCTCAATCAGCTCCGCATGGCCTGACGTTCTGCTTCTCCAGCCATGTGTGTGCACGAGCATGAGTGATGAGTGCACACACATACCTGAAGTGTGTGTGAGCTTTTGTTTCTGTGTTTTGTGTTTCTGCGCACTGTTTGAATGTGCCTGTGTAAGAGCATTGATCTAAGAATACCTGTATGCAGGCACAGGTGCGTTTGTGTGTTTGCACACATGGGATGTGCAAGTGCAC